AACCAATTACCATATCAATATAGTTCACACTATGTCGAACTATTTTGACTAGTGACTACATTGCAACTTGATCGATATAATTCAATCATCATTAAAGGCTAGACAAATATGAAATTAGTCACCACATATTGACTAAACAACTGAGGGTGTGTCATTCTATTCTTTTTTGTTGTTATTCTTTTCTACTGCTTTCTCTCAAAAATGTTTAAATTGGTTGTTATTTTTCATAGATTGGGCATAGTCAGGAGTTATATAATATTAGAAGGGGGTTTTGTGGACGAAACGACCGTCCAGTGCTTCCAGGTTTTCCATGGTGGTCTAGCTTCAATTGATTCATGATCTCAACTATATAAAAAAGTTATATAATATCTTTAAAAAGATCCATTGAAAACATTTATGAACAGTTAGTATAATGTAATTCTTATTCATTTCTTATTTATATAGATTCATTTGTCCTTCATGCAATATGTAGTTGAGTAACTAACAAACGTTAGAAAGCTAATTGTTATATCCAGAGCTTTAGATTCTTTTTATGCCGCGTATTACTAAACTACTTGAACGATAGAACGACGCAAGAGAGAAGACGGAAGACTAGTAAGTAGGATTGTTATTCCCAACACAGTGTCAAATATAGTACAAGAATCTCATATATTTATAGTTTTTTGGCTGAAAGTAAATCATCATTTCGGACAGCCAATAGGCACATAGGGGGTCCTTCCTATTTATCCAATAGGGAAGCTACACATCGACATTCTAGAATGTCCCCCTAGTGGTGATTGAATGGAATGTCTTCAGCTCTTTCTGGGTTTCTTGAGGCTTTCTTGAGTTCGCCAACGAGCCATCCTTACATTAATCATTCATTAAAGTTATCAGTTTTTGAAAAATGTGATTTCATTGAAACTGAAGTATGATGCACATGTTCGATACAAAAATTCATTCATAGGAGTACAGGTAAGTTTGTTTCTGCTATAAAAGTAGATCCAATATTATCTGCACAATTTTCAAGGAGTTAAAGAAATAGCGTTAGTGAATAACTATTTGATTATTGTATTCCGATTTATAAGTAAAGATATGTATCAAAAATGCCCCACCGCAAACCCTCACTAATACCTCTATGCCTATCTAACAATTTAGCGGTTTTATGTATTTAGTAGCCTAGTCGATTACGTAATAGAATTTGAAGAGCTAGGCATGTGAACTAAGTCTTCGCATGCACAACAGCGTGATGTAGGTAAAACCAACTGATGAGTCCTAAAATGAATCATACGATGTAGATCCCACTGCTAGCCTTACACACCTTGTGTTCAAATCTATTTGAAGATCTACACATAATACAAGTATCTATCATCCAATACACTTAGGTACCACAGTGCGTTTGAGTTTTGGCTTTAATAAAAGGTAAGAAATTGAGTCTTCATCTATTTATACTGAGAACACAATTTATATCACCATAATTGAACATCTTGTGTGGATTTACATTATTGGCATATCATTTCTATATCCCGAAAATAAGAGAGACTTTTCATTATTAATCTAAAGGGTGCTAAATATTTTTCAAAGTTATTTTCTCCAAAATAACTGATCAAACTGTAATTTATTTGGACTTTTACCTCACCAACTCCAGAGTGATCGAATATTGTTGTGGATTACTTCTATCACTAAGCGTAAACTGTATCTTATGTGAATATCAAGTCATCTGTTTGCATTTTCTCCTATTTTTTCTTTCCTCTAGATTCGCTCACTCATAGTGCACTTCATTTTCCCCCAACACAAAATTTAATTTTAAGCTAGACGCATATCTACCAAAAGCTGAACATGACAAAGCCATCGATTGAAATTACTACCAAGTTTTCTAAGTTAAGATCTAGAAGCTGATTGAATCCCGTGAGGCGAGGTCGTGGATGCGCACTTCTGAGGAGTCCCACAATAAGACGAAACGGCCGTCCAGTGCTTCCAGGTTTTCCCTGGTGATCTAGCTCCAATTGACTCACGATTTCAATTATGAAAATAATGCATTTAGTTGATTCATTTGTGTTTTATCATAGAAAAGTACTTAGCACTTGGTGTGATGTTTCATATCATAAGCTATTTTAAGTTCATTTCAACCGAAATTATAAGATCGGCAGTGGTGAGGGTTAAGGATAGGTTACCAAAGGAACTTTTGTCTATGAGATCAATTGTTATGATTGTACTGCAGCTTATATTGGAGAAACATCCAGACAATTGAATATAAGGTTGAAGGAGCACAAACAGTGTTTGAAAAATGTTCCCAAAACTTCGGTTAACATAAGGAAACTTGAAAATAAGTCTGCAATAGCGTTACATGTGTTAGAAATGGGACACAGGATTAATTTTGAAGGGGCCAAAATACTTCAGAAATGCTTCAACACTCATAAAGAAAGATTAACAGAAGAAGCGACGTATATATGGGCGAATAAGAATAGCCTAAACAGAAACGACGGTATTCAGCTAGCGACCATTTGGCAAATATTCATCAACAAGTAATTGGACCCTTTCTTTATTCAACCTGTTTGTTTTACATGAATCGTTATGTTTAGCATTACAATTATTTACTTGATGATTCTCATTTTTACTTGCAATTCAATGGTTCAGAAACAATCGTTCAACCTTCGATTCGCACTTTCAGTTTTACTTCATATAGAAGCATATTAACACTGAATATCATTCATTAATAACCCATTCTTACACCTATAGACCCACACACACACACACACACCATTCATTCAGTCATTTATTTTCACATGGTGAACTTTCCACATGATTCTCATTTAACTGACTCATATGATCCTGTTTACAAAAATTCAACATCCAAATATGATTGGTTTAACGTAGTTTAAATTTTGATATGATTGTTAAAAAAACACTATATATTTTATAGTTGAAATCATGAGTCAATTGAAGCTAGAACACCATGGAAAACCCGGAAACACTGAACGGCCGTTTCGTCCTATTGTAGGACTCCTCAGCGGTGCGCATCCATGATCCCGCCTCATAAGATTCGAACACAGGACCTGTAGGTCTCGAGCGCGAGCGCTTAACAAATAGACCACTGAACCGGCTGGCATCCAACAGTGTTAATATCTAACTTCAACCAATCCACGAAATCTGAGAAACCGTACACAATTGTCTTCAGTGAGTTACTATCTCACAACAGATCTGGTTGAACTCCACTGGTCACTGTTTTTTCTTTTGATGATTTTGATTATTACCCTGAAGAAGTCCAAACAAGATAGTTGGACGAAACATTGCAATTATTTAAATTTCAATCGCTGCTATTATTTCAAATATAATTTTTCACATATAATGACTTCTCTATACTGGGCGCCCAATTTTTGTCAAACTATTCATTCTAATCTTGACGAATATTCGTATAAGGTAAATAGGTTAGCTAATTAACTGATACAAACCAAAAGCACGTAACTAAAGCAGAATTGAGCTCATGAGTCAATTGAAGCTAGACCACTATGGAAAACCTGAACGCACTGGATGGTCGTTTCGTCCTATTGTGATACTCCTCAACAGTGCGCATCCACGATCCCGCCTCGCGAGACTCAAGCCCAGGACCTATCAGTCTCTTGCCATGGCGCTTAACCGATAGAACACTGAGCCGGCTGGCATCCAACGGTGTTAATATCTAACTTCAACCAATCCACGAAATTGAGCAAACATTCACCGATGTCATCAGTGAGTTGAGATCTTCCAACAGACCTGATTGAACTCCACTGGTTATTGCTTCTCATGATCTCAACTCTATAAAATTATTAAAATCTCCGCCAAACCCCTTCTGATAAAGCAGAATTCTTAATAATGATTTACATACAGCAAGCAAACTATAAATTTTTACTTCTTAGCTTTAATTTAATGCAGATTTATTCACGTATGATAATAGAGAATCTAGAGTATAAAGAAGTAAAAAAAATGATTTCGTTATTCTATTGACCTTCTTCGTATATTTTTAGTGAATATTGTTGTTATAAACGTAAAGGTACTTGTTATACCGTTAGGGTTTCTTGTTATAACAGTCCTTTCACTTTTTACACGTATCTGGGACGTTAATTTACCTTAGACAAATATCTACACCAGATTCCCACCCAGTGTCTATTCTACAGGACTTCAACATAACTTAGATCAAGAACACGAGATTAGCCTGACTAGAACGTCAATATATTTCCACACAAAATCCGACACAAGGAATAGTCAATCAATAACAGTCCGGATAGGAGAATATATAACACATATAACACCTGAAACACCATCTAATGTCTGACTCAGCAAAACAACCAATCATTGTCATCCTCGCTCACACATTACTTGTTTTGAAGATTATTCATGAAGATGACTGTACAAGAGTATTAAATATATACAGAAGAGTTATGTCTCATTTGTAATACGATTTAATCCGAAGAATAAGTCAAAAGGTACAGAAAAAATTATTGAATGATCTTCATTTTATAGTTGAAATCATCAGTCGATTGAAGCTAGACAACCATGGAAAACCTAAAAGCACGGTTGCTCAAGTTTGTGGATTAGTTGAAATTAGGCATTAACACCGTTGAATGACGGCTCAGTGGTTTAGAGGTTATGTGCTGGCTCGTGAGACTGATAAATCCTGGGTTCGAAACTCATGAGGCAGGATTGTAGATGCGCACTGTTGAGGAGTCCCACAATAGAACGAAACGGTCGTCTAGTGCTTTCAGATTCTCCATGGTTGTCTAGCTTCAATTGACTTATAATTTCAACTACAAAATTACTAAAATCTCTACAGAACCCCCCTTCTAATAATTATCTTCCTTTATCAGTTTTCTGTTTTGAAGATACTTGTTAAATCAGATTGGTTTATGCCGTTAATAATTTCCCTTTTCTTTAAAATCAACGAATGAATAAATGAAGGAACAAGTGAATGAGTGGGTGAATAGTGATGAATAGGATTTATACTACTAATAGTAATAAGAACATTTAAAATAAATCAGTAGCCAATCAAACTAAAGACACTTGTTATACTAGTTTAATAAAAATATATACAGAGTTCAATGAAAAATTCAGCAACTAATAACAGATAACAAAGATTTGTCAGTGAGTTATTTAATACTTTTAATAGTAACTATTTAAGAATAATGAATGATGATAGTTGAGATCATGAGTCAATTGAAGCTAGACTATCATGGAAAACCTGAAAACCCTGGATGGCCATTTCCATGGTAGTCTAGCTTCAATTGACTCATGATCTCAACTACTAAAATTATTATAATATCTACAAAAACCCCTTTTGATATTGATAGTTTTGTTCTCTGAGCTGAATGGTTCGGTCGTGGAGCTTTCATCGTCCTTCTGAACGACATCATCAGCACAAACTTCGGATAGAAGTGGAGTTTTTGAATTTCTCCACATGTGATTCACAGATTGTCCTGCACACCTTGGTTCTTGTTGATCTTAAATCTGTCATTGTTTATTTCAAAATCATCTGTCTGAGCTACAAATCTCTATCACCCTTTCTGATAATAATTTACAAAGAAAAATGTAAATGAGGACTTAGGCCTAAATGAGTTAAAACATACTACTTATTATTTTTTATTGAATTCTTTCCAAAGATAATTAAATAATTATCGATTCATCATTGGAAAATAAAGAATATTTGAGTGAATAATCATTGATATCAGAAGGGGTTTTGTGGATATTATAATAATTGTAATAGTTGAGATCATGATTTATTTGAAGCTAGACCATCATAGAAAACCTGGCCTCACTGGACAGCCGTTTCATCCTATTGTGCATCCACGATCCCGCCTCACGAGATTCGAACCCAGAACCTATCAGTCTAATTATTTTCAATAACTTCATTATCTGACTACAGTTAGAAGTTCTTAATCATTATGAGATTTTACAAAAGCTGAGAAGTAAGGCATGTATCAATGAATTTACTAGTGTTATATGTTAAAAATGATGAACGTCTGCATCTGTTACGACATAATTACTGCAAAATCATTTTATGCTTTTTTTAGCACTACTCTTTGTTTTGTGTTATATCACTATTATACTGATCGTGACTGGACACTACTCCAAATCATCTTGACCTTTAGTAAATGACCTTTCTAATTTACAAATAACACAATTTTAAAGTATATATGTCGTAACAGATGCAAACATTCACCATTTTTTAAACATATAACATTGTCAAATTCTCATAGTTGAAATCATGAGTCAATTGAAACTAGACCACTATGGAAAACCTGAAAGCACTGGACGGCTGTTTCGTCCTATTATGGGACTCCTCAACAGTGCGCATCCACGATCCCACCTCACGAGATTCGAACTTAGGACTAACCAGCACTTAACCGATAGACCACTGAGCCGGCTGGCATCCAACGGTGTTAATGTCTAGCTTCAACCAATCCACGAAATCTGAGCAACCGTTCACCCATTGTTTTCAGTGAGTTGATTGAATTCAAATGTGAATCGATCTTCTTTTGTTTGTATCAGATAAATCTTCTGCATAAGATTTATCTTTTAGAGTATTTGGAGCTGATAGATAAAGTAGTTTCGGCATCCTGTTATCGAAGTATCAATAGGAATAATTCCGGACATCATAGTCGTTATCAAAAATGTACGGATGGTTTAGTCAACGTAATTTTGTAAATCATTTTATGCTTATCCGGACACTAAAAAAACTGTTTAATCAATTTCCTATGCTCACTAGCATTAAGTTCTGTACTGTTTTAAGTCAGTGATTGATATCTCACCACATTGTAACAAAATTAATTCACTTAAGGAACTAAAGCAAGAGATTTGTAAAGATTGTTCAAATTGAAGAGATTTTCTATTATGGACTAACTTTTATTTGAGCATTCACTATAAATTAATAAGTACTGGATAGTTGTCTCGTTTTAATAAGGAACTGCTCCGAAATACTCAACCATGACTGTACCAGAAATTTAACATACGACAAAACATATATTATAAGCCTCATGATTCTCACCAATTATTTAACTGAAGTCATTTCATGATATAAACTACAAATTAATATTTCTTTAGTCAACAATTCTATAATATTTACTTCTGTGTATTGATGTACACACTGTTTAAAACACTTTCAAGTATTGACAACATTGAATGCCGGCTCAGTGGTTTAAAAGTTAAGCTCAAGCTGGCGGGACCGATAGATCCTGGATTTGAATCAGGCGAGAGAGATCATGGGTGCGAACAGCTAAGGAGTCTCAGTGCCTCCAGGTTTTCTATGATGGTTTAGTTTCAATTGACTCATGATCTCAAGTATTAAAATATTTTCAAGTAGTAATTTTCTTTGATTTTACAGCTATTTGACTAATACCTACCATAATAAAATTATAACACATGCGAATTATTAGGTATGTTTTGTCAATGTTTTAATGTGATATGAATTTTTTGGCTACTTATTATAATTATATTCACTGTCTATGTATAGAATTGAACTATTTGTAGTATTAAGGAGTTAGTGGTAAGCTAATTATCATTTTGATGATTAAGAATCATTTTTACAAAACAATGTGAGTGACAAAGTGGACTCAGTAGCTAAGTAGATAACGTTTTAGTGTTTAGAGTGAAAAGTATTATGTTCGAATTCTATAGTAAACATTAACTCTGAGTTGCAAATACATCTGTTTGGTGAGCTTCAGATAGGATGAAACACATGCCCTTCATTCTAATGCTAGTCACATTCCATCTGTTCTAGTCAAATTGGCATCTCACTTATTGGATATTCAGTCTAGTAATAATACGCCTAAATTGTTCCATTTACATGATTTAAAGTTTTGAAATAGTTCCGTTTGGTTTTCTAGAATACTAATAATAAACTACTGATAATGGAAGTGCTTATTTGTGAAATTGAAACTTAGTGGTTAAGGTACTCAGTTTTCGAACATTCGATCATAGGTTTAAATCAACGACACCTAAGAATTATTATTATAACCATGCATGTTTAAAATGTATCTTGAAAGTTTTGTTCTTATTTTCTTACCCGGTTAATAAGTTGAGTAGTATACAATGGTAAAACATAAATGTCATATCCCTTGGAGAATTATGAATGGTAACTTTGAGGACTATTTATGGACCAATGTGATATGTATATTTCCTATTGTATAATTGTTAAGTAACTAAACTATTCATATTCATGTTCCTTCTATTATGAGCTTTATTTTGACCCACAGACTATTACTATGCGATTTACAATTCCTGATTTATCCACAGTCTACTGATTACTGTTCCCCACATTCACAGACACTTTGGTCTGAGTCTTGTACAAATGTTATTTTCTATTTTATTAGTACGATGTGGTCAGTTTGTTTGGTATATAAACCCAGTATGTTTGAGAATAATGATTCATACCGCAGAGACTGTTATTGGTGTTCTGGACTTAAATGTCTGGGTTAGGTAGAAATCAGGACTGATAAGTACTCAAGACTGCTCTTATGGCTTTTGTGTATCATTGGGTGATCGATAATTCGCTGCTCTCTGATTGGCGGTTTTAACACGTCATACATTAACTAGTCATCCACTCGGCCACAAGATATAACAATAAATTAGAATTCTATGGACAATGATATCACGGTGTAGCTTCAACTTCACATAAAGTCATTATTCATTGCTTTGAATCCAGTAGCAACTAGCAAATATGAGATTAGAATACAAAATGAGTTTAAATGTTACATTTATATTTCGACTAGTGATTATGAAAGTTAACTTGGCTAAAAATGAAACGTTCAACTTCAAAATGGGATCAGCTAATGGACCTATTTAAGTGAATAAAGGATAAATTAGGTGAAGACTTTTTCCTAGGTTTTTATGTGAAATGAAATTCAGCTTTTCATTAAGCATTAAGAAAACTTTCATGTTTGGTAGTTGTTTAACTTCAGATACATGGTCATCTTCAACTGAATTATCAGACTGAATATATTTATGAAATATGTATGTAAATTCCTTCTTCTTAATTTAGTGGTAAACGTTCGTAGGTACCGAAGCTTCCTAAGCACCAGCAATATATAAATTTGATTTTTTTGAACTCTATAGCAGTTAATTTTATCTTTAAAACAGATTCTAGACCCTGATCAAGTAAAATTCATCATTCGTCAAGTCAGTTACTTTTGTGGGTGATTTTCGTGACTGACTGATATCATTCGAAGTCCCGTTAAGAATTAGGGTGAAATGGACATCTTGTGTAAGTATGAGACTTCTCAATGGTGTTTACTAGAGACCCAGCCAAAGATTAGCTCATTACTTTTTGACGGCTGAGCTAGAATCAGATGCTTTGCATTTCCAAGTTCCATCGATTCATGATAAAATGTGATGATCCCTAAACGTTGCTTTTCATTATAGTGAATGGATAACTTTCTTCATCCAAATAGCTGGCCAATGTTAATTGTTATGAATTGTGAATTCTCAGAAACCTAATCTCATTCCAGTGGAAAGTATGAATTCATCTTGAAATTAACTGAAATAAGCAGTTTGGATTCCTTTTAATCACAATATACTTCAATATGAATACATTTATTTTGGCTTGAAAACTCTCGGAAAAAAACAAAAGAATAGAATGCTTTATAATTATTTAAAATTAATTATCAATGATTTCGACAGTTTTGTAAGATTTCTGTTATAACTTGTGACCGCCCCGTACGAGCAGTCTAGAGTACTTATCAGTCCCGATTTCTGCCTAGCCCAGTCAGTTAAGTCCAGAACACCAATAACAGCCTCTGTAATATCAATCATTATTCTCAAACATACTGGGTTTATATACCAACCATACAGACCACATCCTACCATAAAACAGGAAACAACATTTGTACAAGATTTAGCCAAATGTGGCTGTGAATAAAGGAGATAGTAATCGGTTGAAAGAGCATAACTCAAGAATGATAAATCGCATAGTAATAGTCTATGGGTCAAAATAAAGCTTATAATAAGAGGGACATTAATATGAATAGTCTAGTTATTTAACAATTATACAATAAGAAACATATGCATAGTATTTGTTAATAAATGGATCCCAAAGTTACCATTCATTATTCTTATCGGGACATAATAATTTCCTATTACGAAGAGCCTTTTTGGTCAGTATTCTTTTCTACTAAATAAAATCTGATTTTTATCAGAATGGGGTTTTGTGGAGATTTTAGTAATTTTATATAGTTGAAATCATGAGTCAATTGAAGCTAGACCATCATGGAAAACCTGGAAGCACTGGAAGGCCGTTTCGTTCTATCGCGCACTGCTGAGGAGTCCCACAATAGAACGAAACGGCCGTCCAGTGCTTCCAGGTTTTCCATGGTAGTTTAGCTCACGATTTTAAAATCTGATTTTATTAATCAAAATAAATCCAAATTTTTATTTAAGAACTTCTCTAGCTAATAATCTGTTTTCACTCATAGGTTTTATTCTGTTCGTTATTTAAAAAAAATAGAGTGCACTCACGTAGTTCAGATAATTACGTTACACACGTTTTATAATTCGGTGAGATTATAATCTATGGACGAACAGATGAGAAATAAGATAACAAATCTTGGATTTCAGCATGAAATTCACTTATCCATTCCACTAAATAGAGTTTTGGCATTATAGATTATGTTAGTCAGTAATAAAAACCCTAGATCTAATACGTAATCTTAACCATCAACTTTAAATCATAATTCTAATTTTTCACACAATGTATTATAACCATCATTTGATCCTAGTTATTAAGTAGACACTTTCAAGGTCACTCTAGGGCTTTTTGAAGGTCATCCATAAATTATAGTCTCACCTATAATTCTTTGAACAATATAAATAGGAGAAGGGGTTTTTGTGAAGATTTTAGTAATTTTATGGTTGAATACATGAGTCAATTGAAGCTCGACCGCGATAGAAAACCCGGAACCACTGGATGGTCGTTTCTTCCTGTTGTGAGACTCCTCAGCAGTGCGCATCCACTATATCACTTTGTGAGATTCGAACCCAGGACCTAACAGTCTCGCGCTAGAGTGCTTAACCTCTAAACCACTGAGTCGGCTGGCATCCAACGGCGTGAATGTCTAACTTCAACCAATCTCTGAAAATTGAGCAACCATTCACCATTATCTTCAGTGAATTATTATTTCACAACAGACCTGGTTGAACTGCACTGGTTATTGCTTTTCACTAGAACTCCAGGAAATACTTCATGGAGTCAGTCACTAGTGAGTCTACGATCATTATTAGAAGCGGGTTTTGTAGAGATTTTGGACGGCCACTGCTTCTAGGTTTTCCATGGTGGTTGAGCTTTAATTGACTCATGATTTTAACTGTATAAATATATATTTCTAAACTGAATATTAAATTCAACTACTTAACATAACTTGTTTTAAACATTTAATCTTTGTTTACATTCATTGAAATTTCAGAATACTCCATTAAGTCATTTCAACAAAGAAAAACAAAAGAGAAAAACAAAACAAATAAGACAAACTCCATATGTACACCCATTACACATGTTACGTTATTCTGTATTACATGTATTAAATATGAATGATAATAAAGTCAAACATCAATCATTACCTACTAATACTTTAATGACAATGTCACCAACTGAAATGAATTCATCTTATTTAATTCTTAAAAATAATAATGAAATGAATGATACTACTGATAATCATCATGAACAACAACAATCACAACTTAATGATAGTTCAAATCAAATAGAATCATCAACTGGGATCAGTTTAATTAATGAACCCCCGAAACGTCCAATTAAAGGTTATCAATTATTGAAAAAAAAATTTCATTTTACACGTGAAACGTTAACCAATGGTTTAAAAAGAAATAGCAGTAGTCAAAATACTAAAATGATAACAAAGACAAATGATCAAATCACTACTACTACTACTACTACTACTACTACTACTACTAATACTAATACTAATACTACGACTACTACTACTAGTAGTAGTACTGACAAGAACCGAAATCCGATGAACCCTTTTAAATCTACCAATTTATTAAATACATCTAATGATAATCTATCACCAAGGGAACGATCATCTAGTTTTAGTGTTCAATATGAAAATAATCAATCCCATTTATCAATTCAATCAACCAATATTAGACATAATAATCATTATAATAATAATAAAAGTAAACATTATGAAAAATCTTTATTATCTAAATCTCAATTAAGTTTACAATCAAGTTTATTAAAACAAAGTCAATTATCATTATTAGATATACAAAGAGATTATCCAAAAACTTTAATGACATTAGGTGTTGTTGTTGGTGGTGGTAGTATGTTAGGTATATCAGATACTGCTAGTATAATTACAGAAGGTGGTATTAATGATCAATATATTGATTTAATCAAAGCCTATCATAATATTTTAGTTGCTATCGGTGAAAATCCTAATCGTCAAGGTTTATTAAAAACACCCCAAAGAGCTGCTAAGTCAATATTATATTTTACAAAAGGTTATGAAGAATGTGTTAATGATATATTAAATGATGCTATATTTGATGAAAATCATGATGAATTAATTATAGTTAAAGATATTGAAATGTTTTCAATGTGTGAACATCATTTAATACCATTTATTGGTCATGTATCTATTGGTTATATACCAAATAAAAAAATTTTAGGTTTAAGTAAATTGGCAAGAATCGTTGAAATTTATTCACGTCGATTACAAGTACAAGAAAGACTTACAAAAGAAATTGCTATTGCATTAAAAGAATCAATTAATCCTAAAGGTGTTGGTGTTATTATAGAAGCAACACATATGTGTATGATTATGCGTGGTGTACAAAAAATTAATTCAACTACTATAACAACAACTATGTTAGGTGATTTAAAAGAGAATGGGAAATTACGTGATGAATTTTTACAACTTGCTGGAAGAAAATAAATTGATCTGTTTTGTTATATAATATGATGAGGAGGAGGAGGATGAGGATTGAATGAGTTTTCTTAATAATGCCCATTATTTAATTAAATAAAAAAATCCTAAAAATCAAAATATGATCCTCTTTTTTTTGGTTGATTCGTTTAAAGATCTTTATCATATTTGAAAGACTAGTTTAGCCTGTCGTATACCTTGATGGTGTTCTAGTGACTTACGGGTTGTTTGATCTGTCAAGGGTGATGGGACAGTACATGATAGTATTGTTGTGTACTAGGTTCAAAGAGAGAATTGTTTGCTATATGCATACAAGTCCTCTCTGTTATTGTTCTTATTTTTTTCTGATTTTTGTGAATATTTGGTTGACAGTAGTAACAAGTTCTCTTCAGTTTAACCATAAGATATGATTACGAGTTATAATGTATGTATTGATGTAGTGAATGGGAACACGAGTGGGGATAATCGAATGTATGTAGGCACAAAATTACAGACTATTTCACTAAAATTTGATAACAATACAGTAAACAGTTAATTTGTAAAATAACAATCAATTGTCTCAATCTTGATTGTTTATTCTACAAATATCCTTTAGTCTTCTCTGATTTCATTGTAAATGCATTTTAATACCAATTGCGTTCCGTTCTCGTCTTTTCCTTATTGATCTTCTGCCAAAATACATTCTATGTCTGACCATTACTATATACTACTTATGTCGATATAAGTAATCCACACCATATTGGTAAATATAAAGCTAGAGATTTCGTATCCTTATAATCGGTGTTTTCAGTAAAATTATATTAATATTAGTTAATAAATTATCAAAGCTTGAGAAGTTAGCACCAGATACATTGACGATAAGGAATCTGGGATAAGTTAACAACATAGTTGCAGAAATATTAGTGAGCGTTTGCCAATAGTTTGGATTCATATTCTATCGTTTTTTGTCCTGGGAATTTACTAATCATTTCGAAATTTCCTAAGGATAATGATGAAATAGTTACAATGATATTGGGATTAGTGTCTTTCACGAGACGAAAAATCAAAGTCATATTCCTCAGTTTGAATTTCACGAGGCGGAAACCTGGAGAACTACGAAAGTCATCATCCAGAAGATACAAGTATTTATTAACAGTTGTCTACGCAAAATGCTTCAGATCCGTTGGTCAGACACTATCAACAACATTCTACTGTGGGAAAGAACAAAACAGATTCTATCCAGCGGAGGAAGAAATCAGAAAGAATCGCTGGAAGTGGATAAGACACACATTGAGGGAATCACTCAACTGCGTCACATGACAAGTCCTCACATGGAATCCTGAAGGTCAAGGGAGAAGAGGAAGACCAAAGAACACATAACGATGAGAAATTGAAACAGACATGAGAAGAATGAATAAAAGTGTGATAGAACTAAAAAAGAAGGCCGAGGATAGAGTGGGTTGTAGAATGCTGGTCGGCGACCTATGCTCCATTGGAAGTAACACTCATAAGTAAGTAATTAAGATTTCAACTGTAATCTTGAATATGAATGAATAAAAGTAGCTAAATATTGATCACAGAACTATCATTCAATATAAACAACAATGACATAAATGAAAAAAAAACATTTCAATGTTAAACATAGATTGATCTTAAACAAAGATAAATACCATTGTCTAACCATTTAAACATTTTTGAAACTATACAAGAATGAATAAATAGTAATATAATTGTAATATCCCAATGAGTAGAAAAAATTAGATTTTCTGACATTTCGTGACTCAGTGTAAGCCATTTCTTCAGAGAAAATAAATAACCAACAAATGGAATGAATATATTTCTTTGTTTCATAATCCTTTCTATATACTAGTATATACATCCTCATATATTCCATTGAGTTTTTATGCAAATGAGCAACCTAATTTATATCAAATATCAAATAAAAAAACATCAATACATATGTATATATTATAAGTTCTAATCCCCGTCAACCATTTTTTTTTAAAAAAAATGTATGTCATTACAAACAAACATTTGTATAAGCCGGATATCCTTTATTGAACAATTCGATCCTTTCATTTCTTATCTTGAAAAGATAAAAGAAACTGTCAGTAAATGAAATTGGTTCAAATTTATTTTTTTTTTTTAATATTTAAGACAAATCCTAATCATGTACATGTAAAGTAAAAAATAAAAAAAAAATTAATCTCATGTTCAAAACTTTCGAAATAGGTTAGATTGATAAACAAGTTGTTAAGTAAAGACATACATACATAAGAAATTAGTGTTTATATAAGAATGATATGCTGATGATGTGTTGTTTGTTTTTTTGTTTTTTTAGAGGAACAAATCATCTAGCTGAAACTATTATAACACTATTATAACTTGATCGATAGCATTCGATCAGCACTAAGGACCTGACACGCATGAGATTGATCACCACCCAGTGATCAATCAATTGTGATTAGATCTCAGTCCTACAGGAGGTCGGTCGCTGCCCGAATAGCTCAGTGGTAACGTCTCTGACTGTGAAGCTGAGTGACGCGGGATCGAATCCGTCAGGGAGCATCAGTTCCCTCAAGATTACAGGTACACCTTGCTGATGAGTGCCAAGTAGCACGAAACCCGGGTCCAGGGTTTCCTGTTGACCACCTCCAACCACCATGTTACCCTAATATATATAGTGCCCGCAGTGTCGAGCCACCTAGACTGGTGGCCACATTGCAACTTGATCGATAGCATTCGATCAGCACTAAGGACCTGACACGCATGAGATTGATCACCACCCAGTGATCAATCAATTGTGACTATTATAACACTTTTAACATGTTTATTCTGAGCTAAAAAAAAAATCTTTTTCATACTTTCAAAATAATTATAGTTTTGTAGCTTAAGTATTTAAAACGTTGTTATGTGTAGAATAAAAAGATTAAAACAAAATTAAGTATGTATATTTCATCTTATAATTTTTCATTAACTAGAATAAAAAATATCATAATTTGTATTATAATTTTTTGACTTACTGGCTTACATGAATACGCATTTCTGAGGAGTCTCACAATAGGACGAAATGGTTGTCAAGTAGTGTTTACAGGTTTTCCATAGTGGTCTAGCTTTAATTGACTCATGATTTTAACTATATATTATTCATATAGTTTGTTGGAACTTTAAGCTGTTTCCAAATGACAATCAATTTGGAGGTAAATTGAATTGATTTTTTGAATGAATTAGGCATATACTGTAATGTGGTCTACTAATATATCCATATAAGTAGTATATGGTGATGGTCAGACATAGAATGTATTTTGGCAGAAGATCAATAAAGAAAGAACTGAAATGAAGTGCAATTGGTAATAAAATGCATGAACAATGGAATTAGAAAAGATGAACTGATACTTACAGTAGGAACAGTGAAGATTGAGACAATTGATTGTCATTTTGCAATTTGACTGTTTACTATATGGTTATCAGAATTCAGTAGGAGAGTCTGTAATTTGTGTTTAAATACATTCGATTGTCCCCACTCGTGTTCTGTTCACTACAATACAAAAAAGGTTTCATGAAGCCATGCCAAATTCTATCGAATAAACCTCAATAGGAGTCGAAATAACCTACCCCTGTTCTGGAATTGAATATTTTCATTTTGTTATACTGTTATGACTGTTAATTATGTCCATAACTAAAATGAACAATAATAATAATAATAGATCAGCACAAAGCAGTACTGAAGAGTCTCATTCTGAGACGAGACGGCAGTCCAATGCTTCCAGGTTTTTCATGGTGGTCTAGCTTCGATTGACTCATGATCTCAACTATTGAAATTACTATAATACCAACAAAAATTCCTTCTGATATTATTAATAATTTATAGGTATCATTACCAAGTTTCGATTAAACATTAGCATTTAAATATAGAAAAAAACTAGTGATGAGTTAGTCCGTCGCCAGAAAATGTGCTGGGCGACTGTCCGATTCCGGTACTAATATACACGCTTCCTATACGCAGGCCCAACCAGCTACGTGAGTGAGAAAACGAAGAGTGAGCAGGAAGAGTTTTATTGGTTAGTCTGAATCAGAATATAACCAATAGCTCATTCATTAATATGAGTATATGTCCATCGGAAAACGATGGCAAACTTTCGACCAATAGCGCGGACAGGCTGGTATCTTTCACTCATCATTTGACCTTGAAATGATATACCTGACTTACCTAGTCTATCAACTTGGCATTCTGCTTGAGTCGTACTATACCAGTAAGCTGGTTGGTTCTGTTAAGATGACTTACTCTTATTTGAACGTTTGTTACAATCTCGTCTTATTCAGATTTTGTTTATTTTAGAATTAGTTTTCTGTTGACTTACTATCTAAATAATCTTGCATGTTTTTGGCTTGATATTATGAGACTAAAAATTTTCATGCTTAATTTATCTGATTTTACTATTCCTTATTGTATCTCCCTTAGATTTAAACGAAGAAATTATACTGTACTGAGTATAAATTTGACGTTTTTCAAACTTTACAGATACCCATTCCATCTGCATTATGAATACACTAGTAGACAGATAACTGAATAGGTATCATTACCAAGGTTTGATTTGATAATTTCGAATAAATTAAGCATCGTGCAGATTGTTATAAATAAGAAGTGGTTTACACTGAGTCACGAAATGTCAAAAAATTTAATTTTATCGTACACTAATGATATACTTCATGTATAAATTTCTTCATTGTATCCTTATGGTATAATAAAACATCAGTACATATGATTAAATTCACTTGGTATTGTTTGTTTAAATCTTCCTATTGATGTTTAGGACTGCAATTGATCAGTCTCTTATTGGCATATGTGCATACTATGCGTATTGCTTCGATATAACCATAATTCACAAGCATTATAAGTAAGAATGGATATTGGCTAGCAGTAGAATCCAAAAAGCGCGTTTCGTCCTATTTGAGACCCGTCAGCTGGATGTACCTGCATCTCAGAGTTGATGTTCACTCTGGGGCTCGAACCCAATCGCTTACATATGAATTCATTCACGTAAAATCAGGTATTAAAGTTCACCTGTATTAAGCAATGAAAAAATGTAAGCATTAAACTGACTCTTAATTACTATGATTGAAAATGATCATCTCTTTAATAAGACCATCCAGTATTTCAAATGTTGATAAAAGACATTATTGGTTATTCATGTCCCTTTTCATTTTTCAATGTTTTCTAGCTTAAAGAAACACACAACTATGATGGATGTTTACATGTTGAATCTGTTTGAAAAAAACTGATAGAAATTAAGGTAAAGAAAAAGCAAACAATCCTGAATAAATTCATCTGTAAGGATTGCTTAGATATTCCCTTTGATGTCAAGGTCCTCAATTGATCAGTCTCCTTTTAGCATCTGTGTATCCTGAGCTGATTGAATTGATATTGACACTATATTGTCGGCACTTTTTCGGAAGAGTTAGATTCAGTTGGATTGAGTAACTTAGTGGGTAATGGGTTAGGCGTTTGGAGAGAAAAATATTGGGTT